GTGCTCATCAGCACATCTTTGACGTTAAAGTGGTTATGCAAACAGTAAGTCAGTGCAGTGGCTGTACTCCGGTAATTTAGGACACAGGTGTATGTTGACTTTGCTGCAGTTTGGGTTGTTTTAATGTAAACTCCACCAGCCAAATGAACCAACCAAAATTGCTGCAAGCCTTGCAGGAGCTGGGCTGGTTTTGCATGGAAGTGGACCAGGGAGTGTTCACATGCAGAGCTGTACTGGTGGAAAGCTTCCAGCTCACAGGCGGTGATAGCATCTGAATCCAGGGGAAAAGGTGCGTCTTTTCCAACTCAATCCTGATTCACTGGAGGACAAACATCCAACTCTTAATAGGAGACTTTGAAGAAGCTGACGTTTTCCAGGATAAAAGGGGATATCGTGATGGTATCTGCATACAAATTGCACCATAGCATTGTCTTTTGCATTCATAAAACTCTCTTAATAGCTGCTATTTACTGTAATTACTTATTAAAGGTTAACAGCACCCTCTCTTATGTGTGCAGGGATATTTCTAGTCTCTGCTCTTTAATCTTCTCTTTGCCAATAGCTCGTGTATTTGTGCATGTTCTTATCTTGGTCTCATCAAAGGGCTTGTTTCAGACATTTGTTTTCCACTCCTGCTCATCTGGCTGTAGAAAACAAAACATTAGCACCTAAAAAACCAATTGAAAAATCAGTCACATGAGAGTAACCTGAATTCATTACCTCTGGGGTTTGTGCCAGATGTAACTTGGATATTTTCCACTGAAAACAAGACAGTCAATGATAAAGTCATGCCCAACGATGTTTGAGTGAATGCATTTTGTAGTAGGAAGGCACCTCTTCTCCTCGCTTGGTATAGGCAGTAAAGGGAGAGCAGTAACTTCAGTTTACAGTAAATTTTCTGCTTTGTGGTGGGTAAAATAGAAGTTTCCCAGAGCTAGAATTAAACAGTAATTAGCAGCTGGTAAAATCCCCCTGACACTCTGCACCTTCTTTCCTAAGGCATAAATATTAAGAGCTGCTTATCAAGCTCAGTTCCTGATTAATATTTTACAGTCTGTACAGGCTCACTTCTTGTTTCTCTAAAGAAGGATTTATTTTAAAATATAACAGTAGACCAAAAAAAAAGACTGGATTTTTGAAATTAAAGGTTGAACTTTCTTAGTGGCTGGAGCACCCAGTGATTGTTGCAGTGAGTTGTTTGTAATTTTTTAGTTCAGTTATCATTCAGTGTTAAGGACTTCATGTCAAAAGATTTTTAATGTGAAGCATTTGAATAGCATGTGTATTTTGACTCCTTTAAGGTGATAAACATAGCAGATCTGCATAAAGCAGATCTTTTTACCTTTAGTAATTAATTATTGTAGCAATTGTGACACAGTTTAGTTGTGTGCATGTATGAACTGTTGGAAAACACGGTATTCACATGAAACAGCTTGCTCCAAGGTACTTTGATTTAATATTCTTTTATCAAAAAAACCAAAAAAACCAGAAACAACACATGCCAGGGACCTAGGACTCTCCCATGGTCAGGACCAGCTGTGTGCTGGAGTTGTGGCTGGTGTTGCTCAGTTTGGGGAGTTATCAGATGCCACAGAAAGCCCTCCCTTGGCTCTACAGGCAATCTGCGAGAGCGATGTTGGCTCTGCTGGGTGTTCGAGCGTGGGATGACTCTCCATATTTATCTGATATTTCCTGCTGCCTCCTTGTCCCATTGCATTTCCATGACCTTGGGCTCCCCCAGGACTGCTTTTCTCCTCCTCCCCTGGGATATTGTTGATCGCTTTCACAGCAACCCATTTTAAGATCTGAGAAAAAAAATGATGAGGTAAGCTGATGCAATGTTTGCTGCTCATGAAAAGGTTATGGGTCCGACCAAGGCAGCAGAAACGAATAATTTCCAAACTCTGATCTCTAGGGGAGAGAAATGTGATATCTAAGGCTTTTGAAACCTCTATGCCTTGCATTTATAATCTGGCATTTTACAGATCTTTTTCAACCAGTTATTCCCCTTGATTTCAAGTGATGGCTTTTGAGACGCAATTTGATTTGCGCAAACAAGCAAAAAAAGATCAATAGCCATTATAGATTTTGCACCTGCGTCCCACCAAGCAGATTTTGAGCCCATTGGTTTCTCACTTCACAGAGCACCAGGTTATGATTAAAGGCTTTTTTTGCTTCTGCTATGATCTTTCCATGAAATAGAAATCAGTGCATCTGCATGCTGCCCAATCCGTCGCTTGCTGAGCTTGAGGAGACCTTAGGCTTAAAAAGAGTTAATCACCGTGCTAAATGTGCAGCACAATCCTGGCTTGACCAAAGTCAGTGTCAGCTTCATCCCCACAGAGCCTGAGTTTCAGATCTGGGGCTGTATCCGCACCATGCCGTGGGGTCCTGCTCCTGCACCTGTTCCCTGCACCAAACAGATCTGGCCTCTTGCCCAGAATACTCCTTTGCAACCAACTCTGCCCCCTCTTGTGCCGTGGGGGTTTGTGCCACTTACTGCACCACCAGATCATGCTGGACTCTTGAAGCAGGATTAACTCCTGGCTGGATTAGATCTTGATCAAGCAGATTTGCAGGCTGTTGAAAATTTCACAAAACGCAGTTTTTGTGGGTTCTGAAGAGTAACATGGGGAAACCTGAAGTGCCATGAAATTAAAAAGGCCTGGATGTCTGTGGCATATGTGTTTTGTTTCTAGTTTCTGGAGAAAAGATGCATATTTAGAGAAAAATATAATCTTTATTTGCATGTACAATATGTTTCTCCTCCTGTCTCATCCCTTTTGTGAGGACTCAGGGCCAGAATTACAGTATCTGAAGTTGCTTTTGGATGCTATTCAGCTCCCATATGTCATGATCTGTTTTTAATCAAATGGGTTTTCCATCTGAAAGTAGCTGTTGGATAGAGAATGGGTAGAAATATTTCTGTGTGAATTAGCTCAGACTGAAGCTACAAACTTTTTTTTTTTTCCTTCACAACAAACACATGGAAAAATATTCTTCAGAGTAGTGTAGTTGGCCTGAAAATTGGCAACAGCAGCTTCCTTCCCAGGCTCTGACTCCTCTGCCTTGACTGTGTGGGTCAGATCTTTAAAGAGGACCTGAAATCTTCATGTTACACAGTCTTATTTCCCCTCTGTGAGGCAGGGCAGTGCCAGTGTCACTCTTGTGCGTATGGGCATTGAGGGAAGGGAGGTTGGCTGGTTTGCTTTTCCAGAATTGTGAGACACAGCTGAGGAGTAGCCTGGGTTTGGTAAGAATCATGCTCTTAACCCTGGGCAGTCTTCCCTTTGCCAGCCTCTGTCCTTATGTTTGATACGATGATGAGGGAGGACCCAGATCTGCTTTAACAGCCTGTGCTCAGCATGTCCAGTTCTTGAATGCCGTGAAACTGGGCTGCAGTAGGTGGGGAGCAGCCTTGGGGACTTGAATGTGACCTAAACAAGCAGAGAGGAAAGTATAACTGCAGGACCTCCATGGTTCCTGGGATATCAGATGACACCTCTCTCCTGATAGGTAGGAAGGAATAAGAAAGGAAAAGTTCCTCAATAGTCCTTGGAAAAGCGCTGTTAAGCCCGACATTCAACAACCCTCTGGGAATTTTCATGCAATAATTTTTATTGGTAAAAGCACAGTGGCAATTACCAAGATGGGATAGTGTCCTGGGGAAGATGGAGAAGGGGATGATGCTCATCCATCCCCCATCACTGGAGACAGAGAGCTTCAATGCTGTGTCCATGGCAAAAGGGAGAGCTCCTGCTGCAGTACCGGGACTGAGGGAGGAGGGATGCTTTCCTGTTTCCTCTGCCAGATCGTTATCTCACTCCATATGTGAAACCTGGAAATTGCTTTAAAGGCTCAGGAGCTGGCCTGGCTGTGATTTTCATTATATTGATGTTGTGTAGTCACCCTCAGTGACCTCAGTGGTCACTCTTGGTACCTCCATCCTGTGTTTGCTGAAGCCTTGTGTATCTGTCATCAAGGCAGCAGGAGCAGCATTGGCCTGAAGGCAAGTGTGTAAGAGAGCAGAACCTGGCTCATTTTTCTCTTTAAAAGAAATGTTTTGACAGTACTAGGGTCAAAAGGAAATATTTTTCTGTTAAATATATTTTTTTTCTGTTACATATATATTTTCTGGCTTTTATATATATGTATGTATATGTGTGCAAATTTTTATCACAGCTTCTTGCAAAACGGTGTTTCTGTAAGATGATTGTTTTGGGGATGGACTACAGTTGGACAAGGGAAATCCTGGGCTTATTCTGGGCTTCTCTTGATGTTTCCATCAATATAGGAAAACAGTGTCACTCTCACTGTCCTGCTTTTACATCACCTTCAAATCAGTCTAATGGGGACCAGAGGTGCTGAGTGGTACGGTGTGACTCAGCAAGGGCTGTGTGCTGAGACAGGGTTGAGTTGCTATCCCATGTGTATGGGTGTGAGTAAGCAACTCTGTTGCACGACTGTAATCCCCCAATACTCCTGGAGCTGAGTTTGCTTTGAATTTCCTGTTGAACCAGAGCAACTTCTTGCTTGAGAAGGGCGATGGCTGCATCTCCATGTGCAAGGATGACCTGGAGCGTGAGGTTGCGGATCAGCAGCCCATGATGGGCTGTTGCTTCAGGGGTGGAATAGCTCTCCCAGTCACACCTGCAGCCAGCTCTGGGACCCTCCAAAGAGGATAGAAAGCAGGGTATGTTACCACAGATCAGAAAATATGCTGTCTATTAATTAAAGCCTGTATCCCAGGGAGAGCAAAATTGCTGAGAACTGGTGATGAAGATGTGTGGGAGAACACTGCATACTGTCCTCAGACCTCTGCTCAAGGCTGCAACAGGGAAACGGCTTTAATTTAGGCTAGTTCTGCACTCAGGGCCGTATTCCTCATGAGCAGGAACAACCAGTGGGATCTGGAATTAACCTATGTTGACTTTTCAGCTTTTGGATGTATCCCATGCTTCATGGCCCATGCTGATTTGTGTTTTCTTTTCCCTGAACAGGTCTATATCATCAATGTAACATGGTCTGACCTGACTTCCCAGATCATCTACCGGAGATACAGCAAGTTCTTTGACCTGCAGGTAAGCCTGTCTTGTCTAACATGAAATATTATTTCTACTCATGCTTCTAGTCGTGTTTCCAGCTGGGTTAATAGTGCCTTTAAGTAAGGCTTTGTGCTTGGTTGGTCTGTTACATGTCATGATCCTGAAACTTTTCAGGCTCTGCCCTTGTAAGGTATAAGATAAGTGGGTGGTATGCTCACAGTGAGTGGCTTGCACTGTAAAGACATTTAAAGCTGACATTTTCATGAATGGTTCCTATTGAAGAGAGGATCTAATTTTAAATACTTCAGATGCACTTAGAACAGAGAGAGAGAGAGCTACATTCTGGGGCCCCAGAAACTACTTAGCTAAATAGCTGAAAACAACAGAGCTTTTGCACACTCCCACAGCAGTTCAGCAGTGGAGATGGCAGTGGAAACCTTACAGGCCCTCCTCCTAACCATCTACCTGGCCAACCAGTGTCCTGGCTCCTGCTGTTTTGTACAGCTCCTTGGCTGTGTTCTGTGCCTGTATATTTAGATTTCATTGAAAACTTTCTTTCTGAATAGCTGCTGACCAGAGTCTGAAACCAGGAAATGGGAAAAGTCTCAGTTACAGAGTTTCAGTGTGGGCATCAGCTGCTTCCTGTCTTGTAGTGTTACTTTATTTCTGGTAGTGTTCCCAGGCACCTGCATGGGTAAGGAGAGCTTCGGGGCTGCTGTTCTATTTAGCAATAATCAAGATGCATTGATACCTTTGTAGGCAGCAAAACTATAATTGCCTGGGGTGAAAATATAAGCTGTGGTTTGACAACCTCCCGAACTTTGAGGGAAAATGTTGATTTTTGGGGCTGGAGCTTGTGTTTGGAGCTGGACTGTGGTTAGAATATCAAGCAGGTCCTCACAACCAGTGTTAAGGATGTTCACAGCTGACTCTGCTGTGTCCTGGAAAGTAACACTGAATCTTTTTGCCATGATAAATTAGGAAAAGAAGGGTTCCTGATCTGAGGTATCTTGAAGAGCTCTATTTTCATCATTACTCCCCTTTATCTTTAATTTCTGGTATTTGGAAACCTGAAGTCTTTAGCCTGTTTTGTAAACTAGATCAGTTATGGCCTCCTGGCCTTTCTGGTGAAAAATGTGACCATTTCTACAGTCAGTCCTGATTTCTGTTTGCTCTGTGGCTGGAAGATGAGAGAGGCATGTTCTTAAGCTTCCTTTTGTACCCATCTTCACTTCTTTTGGGGCTGAAGTGCCAGGCCTGCCAGTGCCTCTGCTGTGAACAGTGTGTCAGCATCTTCCCTGTGTCTGATGTACCTACTGAAGATGCACAGCTCCCTAGTCACAAACATTTGTTGTCAGCATGCGAACTGTGCCCAAAACTGTTTCTTTCTCTTATGTTTCTTTTCTCCACAGTTCTGTTTTCATGTATATGTTGTTCTGGGTCTCCTGGCCTTTCCTGGTAGGTTTGAAAAGTTCCCATCAAGCGTGGAGTTATCAATGGGGTTAGTGTGTTGGACAGGAAATGATGTCTCAATCAGGGAGTGAGTCCTGAAAGGTCCCATTGATAAGTGCAAGGGGGCCTAGCCAGTGGAAAACTCTCGCTTGCATAACGCTTCTCCCCCCACGAGAAAATACAACAAAAAAGTAACAAAATTCCCCTCCTTAACCCTTTTCCCTCCCAGGGATCTCTGTCAGGACCAACACTGCATGAGCAGTGACAGCCCTCTCCAACAGCCTCTTTAGCTCTTGCAGCATGAGGCGCTCGGTTACAGAAACTGAGGTCTTCACTTAAGGTTCCCATGGCCTTGTCATGTTTCTGTGAGGACATCACATGTGTCAATCTGTGCCTCAGTTTCCCGCCTCTAAGATGTGGACAAGTCCCCGTGTGCTCAGGCTGCCATAACGTGCTTTTTAACTCCCAGAAGTGATAGGTGATTCCCCCCCCCTCCCTCATTTCCTCCTGTTACTTTTTCTGGATTTTTGTTTATGCCTGAACATCTCTTAGGTGATGCAAAGGAAACTGCTTTGAGTCTTGAATACCAGCTTGTGCTTACAGCTCTAACGAAGCCTGCAAAGAGAGTTGGAAAAGGAAATGAACGTTAGGGCCCTTGGGGTAACCCTTGCATTTTGGGAAACTTACAGCTTGATCTTCAGTGATTCTTCCTTAAATGCAAGTTTGCTCCAGATCAGGGGATAACTTGTGCTTTCCAGTGGAGGAACAAGGGAGGACCTGTAACGACTTCATCAGTGCTGCAGCATCTGTTGTTGACAGTGACACTGGAGAGGACCCATGAGGAAACCCAGGGGGCTGCCCAGGAGCAAGGGAGGAATACAGATAATTAATTTCATTACTGCATTTTCATGTTTCTTTAAAAAAGAGCCCACCCTTCCCCAAATGGCTGTCTGTGGGAAGTGGCTCAGTGGTTTTGAGAGCTCTAGCATTGCTTAGATATTGAGCTTTCTGAAATACTTCCTTGCAAATTCTCTTAGGCACTGCAGGCAGTAAGAGGCTGCTGTGTCCCAAGGATTCAGAAATTGGTTGTGCTATTTCAGCAGCATATATGCTTGAATTGGGAGTCAGGTTGTTTTTAAGATGAGGAATAAGGCAGTGTGACTGGACATACCGTGGGATTTGTTTGCCCCACAAAGCTGTGAGAAGTACAGCGAACAGAACCCAAAGCAACAAGCCAGGTGTCAGCCCTGTGCTGCTTCAGTGAGGCTGGATATCTATAAATACATGTTTTAAATTAAATCAGGGCATTCCTGCATCCTTTAATTGTGCAACCAAGTCACACCTGCTCCTGAGCATAGGTCAAACGATGGCAGCAGCCAATGTTTCAGTAAATAGGATTGAAAAGATTGAATTAACTCTACATAGATAAAAGCATCACTATAAATTGCTTGCCAAGTCCAGTTATCTGTTGTTTTTCACCCTGGGGAGATGTTTGCACCTGAGCACCATGTGGGGTCAAAGCTGCCTCCTAATGTGACATTTTAAATGCTGCTTTCTCGTGCTTGCCTGCAGTGCAGAACAGGAGCGTGAGGAGAGCGATGTTGGTAGTGCTGACCCTCGAGACAGGCTGGTGGCTCACTGAGGCACATTCCCTGGATGCTGTTTGAGGTCTCCCATCATTGCTGATGGATTTTCTGGTGGTGGTTGCAGAATCCTGTCCTGAGGTGATAGTTCAGCAATGGTTCTGTAGTCCCCAAAGGAGCTGAGAAACGACACTGTTTTATTGGGATAGCAGAGAAAACTCCTGGCATTTCCACTATGCAGTAAAAGACATCTACAGATGTAAGGCCCATGTTGTTCTTGCTGCAAAGTGCTGTTTGGAGGCTGTTAGCAGGATAGGGATTTGCAGTTGAGTGTGTCCATAAATAATCACCCAAAACATAGGGTGGAAAAGCGTGGGGATGCAGCCAGCTCACTCTCCCATGGCTATGCTTGCCCATGGAAAGCAGCCACAAAGTTTGCAGATGGCAAGTATGAAGGGTGGGTCTTTCCCCACTCCCCATATCAACCCTCCCAGTTGCTCAGTAGCACCTTGGGCTTTTTATAGCTATTATGGTCCCAGCTGGGTGGTGCCCCCCCTGCTAAGAAACATTCTCCCCAGCAAAGGGAGCAGGGAAAATTGGACAGAGCTTCAGTTCCTTGTGTTTTGGCTTCAATCAACAGCAGCTCATCTGCTGCATTTTATTCAGTGACTCCAAATGTTGTGGTGTGATTTCATGCCTGCCTTACTCAGTGCCTCCAGTCAGAGCATGAACAGGACCAGCACCTCAGCAGAGGGACCAAACCCTACGGTCCATAAGGATGGCTGGGTCTCTGTGTGCAGAGCTGGGGGAGGATCCTTTCTCACAGTAGTGAAATGCAGCCTTCTCCAAGACAAAACACTGGAGCTGGATTTAGCAGCGTGCCATAATCCCACATTGTGTTCCTGGTTGAGCAAGAGGCAAGTGACATCCCTGGTGGAGCCTCAGCAGGAATGTTAGGTGGGCAGATTGAAGTTTCTCCACACAATGACCCACACAGACATGTTGGCTTCAAGGAGATATCTGAAATGTCACCATTTTGAAAAGGCAAATAAACAAAGCTCCATTCAAGCACTGGCTTTGTGTGTTAGCACAAAATTATCTGCCTGTTGTGGTCTGCTGATCTAAGCAGGTTTTCTTCAAAGTGGCACAGAAAAAGAACCTCACTAGCAGCCAATTAGAACACTAAAAATAAAGAATATCAAGAATTTTATTATGAAGAGGAAAGAGATGTAAGCTGTGTTCAGGGTGATGATAAAACATCAAGAGCTTCTTGCTATTGCTAGGGTCATCCTGATTGTTTATAGTGCTATAATGGAGTAACTGAACATTGAAGATGGCATTAAACAAAAATGGTAATATAAAAACCAGTAATTGCAGTCTCTGTATCTTCTTTTCTTGCTCAGACTGGAGTCCATTTGAATGCTGCTGCTATTGATCATTGTTACATGCTCTTCTGTACCAACATGCCTCTCTCTGTTACCCCAAGCTCTATCAAATAGTGTAATGTCCACTCTCATTCCCAGTTAGGTGGTTGTAACTGTGCCATGTGCCTGAGTGCCCTGGGTGTCACCAAGTCACTATGATTTGAAACAGGACCTGGTGGCTTTGGAATACAGGCTTTCTGGTGCAGAGCAAAGGGGGAATCAGTACAGGGTATCTGCAGGGTAGGTGCCTGATGAGATTCTGATGGAATTGTGTATATTCACTGCCATTAGTTGATTTGGGTTAATTGCCCAAGTGGAGACCTACAGCCCCAATTCTAGTGGTCCAGTGGAGTCTAACTCAGTAATGACTTTTTGTAGGACCTGTAATAATTTCATGTTGTAATGTTCATGCATTTAGCTCTGCAGGAGCGGTGAATGGACAAGCTCAAGCATGCACTAAATTTATCAGTGGTGAAGAGTATAGGTAAGAATGCAATGGGGCAAGTGTGCTCCTGCATTTGCAAATGCTGACTCCTAACCCTCAACCCACCAGGCCTTTTTAGCAGGATGAGTAGAG